ACAAATGAAGTTTGACCGTATCTGGATCCCAGAGACGTTTGTTTCTGCATTTAAAACATAGACACCTAACTTCATTCGGGTTGCTACTCTCGGGATGATCTTCCACATATTTAAGGAATTCATCTACCCCCTTCAAGAACTCAGGATTAATAGAATTCCCAACCTTCCTTTCGTACATCCAGCTACGTTCTTTTCGTTTCATGATTACAAGTTCTACACAACTAACACATATGCAATAATCACATTATTCATAAAGCACAATATATATTCATTATAGATCAAACTGTTATGGAAATGCAAATGAGAAGATAAATGATTTCCAAGGGTCCTTATCACTCCAACCTAACCCATCCTTGTACGTTCAATCTCACTAGTGAATGTATGCCAGAATTTCAATTCTATGGAAAATCCGGCAGCATCTCCCTACGGTTCCCCGAGTACACAATATAGGCGATTAGAAACACCTATATATGTACCTAGAGAACATTGTAGAGAAATGACAAGCAAGGATCTTCCTTAGAATTAAAACAAAGGAATACATTCACCACCTAAGTGAGAATAAACGTACAAGGACAGTCCCAACTGGGGACTATTCAAGACATACTCCTAATGTGTATGCCTTGAACGGGTATCTAGGCATATGATTATGCAAATGATTTTTTTAAAGATATTAAAACTAAACTAACATACAAAAAATTATACAAATACATCATAATTAAACTTAACATAAACAAACATATCATAAAACCTTAACATTAATATAAACAAATCAAACCAAACAAAACCAAACTAAACTAACATATCATAATATTAAATATAGTAACATGCATTATAAAAAATTAAACTTAAGTAAGAAACATTATATTAAACTAAACAAAACTAAACTAGATTATAATGAACTAAAGTAATCTAACATACATCATATTAAACAAAACAAACAAAACGGACCTAAAGTTTCATAATATTAAACTAATCTAATATACTTTAGTAAAACTAAACTAAATTAAACCACATTATATTAAAATAAACTAAACTAAACTAACATACTTACAAAAAAGTAAACTACACTAAACTAAACTAACATACTTACAAAAAAAAAAGTAACTAAACTAAACTAACACACATTATATTAGAATAAACTTAACGAAACTAAGTTATGTTAAACAAAACCAAACCAAACTAACATATATACGTTATATTGGGTTTGTAATGTGACTAACCTTTAGATCTGCACTCCTTTTTGACAATTAAACCAATTGTACAAATCCTACATACAAAATATTTTAAAAAAATAATTAAATTAAATAAATAAGGGTTTATTATTAAAAAAAATAAAAAATTGGGGAAAGGACAACTTACCAACTGCTTCAGCCACGGCGAGGGAAGGGAGGAGGCCGGAGGTTGCGGTTGTGGTGGTCAAGGGAGGCTGCATTGTGGTGGTTAATAAATCAAATCATTATTACTATTAGTAGTGCCGGAAAAAAAAAAAAAAGAAAAAGAAACAAAAACAACTTACTGAATTTAAAGGGGGAAGTGGCGTCGCCGGAAACAACCACCACCAGTCGGTTCAGTCACGGTTAGGGGACGGAAGTGCGCCGCTAGCTAGGCTGCATTGTGGTGGTTAATTGTTAGCCGGTGGTGGTTTTTTTTTGCAAAATTAAAAAAAAAAAACTAATTTAAAGTTACCTAGACGTGGCGGCGTCGCCGGAAACCACCAGCGTCGTTCTTCTTCCTCGACGGCTCTCTCTTCCTCCTTCTCTTTCTCTTTCTCTTTCTCTTTCTCCTCTCTCTTTCTTTCACCCTTCTTTCTCTCTTTCGTTCTCGGCGGCGAGTGTGGGTCGACGGCCGGTGTCACCGTCGCCGATTACGGTCGCTGGAGAGCCTCCTTCTTTCTCTCTCTCCTTCCCTTTTTCTCTCTCCTTCTCTTTCTCTCTCTGCTGCTTCAGTTGCTCTTTCCCCCTTTTTTTTCAAGTCGAGCCAGATTGTTATTTTTCAAAAAAAAAATCCAACTTTTGCGACGGAAATAAATTCCGTCGTAAACATATTTTTCCGACGGAATATTCCGTCGGAAAAATATGTTTACGACGGAATTTATTTCCATCACAAACTTTACGACGGATACAGCCTCGTAACTCAACTATTCCGTCGCTAAAGTGCGACTAAACAAACTCTGTCGTAAAATGTGAACTTTGCGATGGAAAAAGGGGTTCGTCGCAACAATTCCGTCGTTATTTAGCCTATTTCTAGTAGTGTTTGACCTTTTTTCGCTCGAAAATAAAAATTGACGAGATGTTTACCATGTTCCTTAATACCCTCCGGGAGCCCATTTGGGTGGATAACACCATCCAATATGCCTTTAAACAGTCAATTTACCCGATTACAAATTGCACTTATTAAATAAAATCAAGCTACACCACGGACATTTATGAAAAAATATAATGGTCATATATGGTTCCAAACGTCATTTTATGACCCTAAGATGTATCCTCTGGGATCTCAACACTTTTCTCCACCGGCTCCCGTAACTTCCAAAATTTCTCAAAAAGCATGGATAATAGCCTTCAATTTTGGAATTTTTTGACCTTTTTTCGCCCGGAAATAAAAATTGCCGAGATGTTTACCATGGTCTCTTAAACCCTCCGAGAGCCCATTTGGGTGGATACAACCATTCAATATGCCTTTAAATAGTCAATTTACCCAATTACAACTTACACTAATTAAATAAAATCAAGCTACACCACGGACATTTATGACAACATGTAATGGTCACATATGGTTCCAAACGTCATTATATGACCCTGAGATGTATCCCTTAGGATCTCAACACTTTTCGTCACCGGGCCCCGTAACTTCCATAATTTCTCAAAAAGCGTGGATAATAGCCTTCAATTTTGGAATTTTTTGACCTTTTTTCACCCGGAAATAAAAATTGCAGAGATGTTTACCATGGTCCCTAATACACTCTGGGAGCCCATTTGGGTGGATAAAACCACCCAATATGCCTTTAAACTGTCAATTTACCCGAATACAACTTGCACTAATTAAATAAAATCAAGCTACACCACGGACATTTATGGCAACATATAATGGTTATAAATGGTTCCAAACGTCATTACATCTCCCCAAGATGTATCCCCTAACATCTAAAGACTTTTCGATACTGGGTTCCGAAACCTCCATAATTCCTCAAAAAACGTGGATAATTATCCTTCAATTTTGACAATTTTTGACTTTTTTTTGGGCCAGAAATAAAAATTTCCGAGATTATTGCCATGGATTAATACCCTCCGGGGGTCCATATTGGTGGGTGAAACCATCTAATTTGCCTTTAATCATCCAATTTAACCATTTTTGTACACGCCTCTTGTATTGGCTATAAGTTTTTACGAGGCCTTTACATAGCCGAATAATGGTTATATATAGGTCAAAACAATATTATATAGCCCCGTGATACATCCCTAGTGTTTCGTGAATTTCCGAATCGGGTCTGGACACCTTCTAAATTGCTCCGATCTCATGTATTATGGCCTTCATATTTGGCTTCCGTATATCATTTTTTCACCCAGCGAGATCATGCATCCAAGTACTTCCATGGGTTCTCAAAAGGCCTTGAGAGTCATACATAGTGCCCGAAACCATCTCATTCATCCTTAATTATCATGTCTTAAGGGCCTTGGGAGTCGTAACTAGTGCCCGGAACCAAGTATGTCTTTATGTCTTGTGCACATCACGCACGACCCCCTATACCATCCAACATCCCAACACTTAGGCTTTGTGACTTGTCTTAATCCCGTACTTTGCATTTTTTAGCATACGAGATGCATCGCTAGCCTCGTTTTCAAAATTTTATGTGTTTTTAGGGGATAGGGTGGGGGGAGGGTCAAATCGAAGCAACATACGAATGAATCTCAGTGGATCGTGGCAGCAAGGACACTCTACCACTTACAATACCCCGTCGTGTATTTAAGTCGTCTGCAAAGGATTGAACCCGCCGCTCGGTAGAAATTGTACTTCAAGGTAGCTCTCACGACGCATCCACCGCGCGAGCTTAGCCTTCGACACGTGCCCTTGGGGGTCGAAACCCTACTGTAGGACGGAAATCGGGCGGCGAGCACATGCGTCGCTTCTGGCCCGGATTTTGACTGTTTCGCCCCACTGGCTTTTCAACCAAGCGCGATGACCAATTGTGTGAATTCACGGTTTCTCTTGTACTAGGTTGAATTACCATTGCGACACTGTCATCAATAGGGTGAAACTAACCTGTCTCACGACGGTCTAAACTCTAAACCCAGCTCACGTTCCCTATTGGTGGGTGAACAATGGAGCAAATACGGAGAATAAGCAAAAAATAGATTCCAATCAGTAAAAATAATTTCAATTCAGATTAAATTATTAAAATTCAACAAAAATAAGTTTTAATTGATAATAATAGTTTTGATCAGTAAAAAGGAAAATGGAGAAAATATGGCCTTAACTTGCAATTTTGATTAGAGTCTAGCCAACTTGTTCAAGGAGAACATGGACAGCTAAACAATTTGCAAGGCTGCTCTTTTTTTTTTTTTTTTTTTTTTTTGAAGACTGCAAAGCTGCTCTTTAGTTCTAGTCTTTATTTTATTTCATGGTTATCATTCTTATAATCTTATGGAGCAAATTCAAGAATGGACCTCAAAAAGTGTTACAACTTTGCAAGAAGTCAACAACAACCATCACGTAGAGCCATATACAGTAAAAAAATAAAAAATTCTGTTCATAATAAGTAATTTTAAAATAAAAAGAACCTACTCTATAACTCTATTGTACAGTCCTACTGAAATCTCGAGTAGAGTATAGGAATAGAAAAGCACCCATTCCTAAGAAAAGGAGGCAAGAAAAACAGAAAAATCAAAGATAAGACAGCAATAAATCAAAAATGCCAATACCAATGACTATTTTACCATTCCCACTAAAAAAGATTTACAAAATCTTAATTGTAGCATTTTCAAATTTCAAAATAAGAAACAATGCAAAACAATAATCTTCCAAGATCAATAAGCTGGTCTGAACTCCCACTAGAACTCCTCAGATCAATAGCCAAATCCTTGAAAAAAAACCCCAATGATCTCCGCAACTTCCGAGCTGTTTGCAAGAATTGGCAACGCTCTACCTCTATTTCCGTTCTTTTACCCTTTTGTGACTACTCTACACTCTCTTACAATCTTTTTACCTCCTCTGTCTTACTCCTTCGCCCTCCCTCGGGTTTATCAGGTTCCAGTTCCGGTTCCCAATTTGACACCCCGTGGATGGTCAGTGTCGTCGAGATCACCAAAGGAAACATCCAATACTGTCACCCTTTTTCTCAAACTCCTCATTCGAATCTCCTTAAAAACTTTGATGTAACTCAATTTCACCCCTCGGTCCTCTCCGAGTCTTACCACATTGCGTCTTCTAGTGATATTAGCCTCTCCTCGGCTATTGCGGGTGTTGATAAAGTGGTGGTTTTCTCAACACGGCCTATCCCTCGAATCAATGACTGCTTACTGTTGGTCCTGCATAATGGGAGATTGGGTGGATACCCGTCTTTCGAGGCTGAGGATGATAAGCCGGAGTGGGTTGACGTGTCGTATCGAGGAGTGGATGATTTCGATGACATTGTAACCTTTAAGGGAGTAATTTACGCTGTTGATTGGGAAGGGAAGCTCTATCAATTATTCAACCATAAAGTTGCTGTTCAGAAAACTCTGGTGTCTGCAGCAGTTTCTGATGCAGGTGCTTACAAAGGATGGCGAAAGCGATTGGTAGGATCAATGCTAGATCAGAAACTGTACTTGTTTGTGAGGTATCAGAAAGATATGTTAAAAGTATTTAAGCTGTCTAAACATGGGAAGATTTGGAATTGGGTTATAATTCAAAGTTTTGAGGATAAAAATCAAGTGCTGTTTATGTCAAGTGTGTATGGTTTCTTTGTTCCTGCTAGATATTTCTCTGACTGCCAGCTTCGCAACTGCATTGTCTTCTCGGATAATGCATTTCCTATCTATTCGTTCCGTGGTTGGGTGTCTGGTGTGGATGTTAAAGTCGAGGAAGAGATTATGGTGTTTCAGCTAGGAACGCGTGATGATCAGAATACTTTTCGACCAATTTCAAGCTACCCGAGTTTTCCTGTTAAACTCTGGTCACCTCCTTCTTGGGTGTTGCAGCCTCAAATATCATCTCCCTTGCAACTGCATTCTGATCAGAGGTAAAATTATAGTAGTTGAAGAAGTTATTACTGTAATTTATATCTCTATCATTTGGGTATAGCATTTAAACCCCTGAAATTTGAAATTGCTACTTTCTTATTGATTGATAATTGTATATATACTACTGATGACATATGAATTCTACAAGACTATTCTACAACTTAAATGATCATTTCAGCCTGAACTTTAACTAGAAATCAGAATAACTGGTAAATAAGGGAATTGGAGGTTCAGATCATTTTCAATGCCTAATATTGAGCACAATGAGCAGTAATCTTTAGTTGAGTCTGAATTCTAGTGTGGATTTAGCTTTACACGTAGTGATTTACATTTTTTCGATACTATTTTGAGTCATATTGCATCGAATCAGTCAATTAAGATGATGCTTACATGAAGGCTGAAATACAAATCATTTTGTTGATGGTATACATTTTGAGACAATATTCTAATCAGATTGAAGTGCAATCTCTGATTCACACAATAAAGACGAGTAATTAAGAACATGTGAGGTGTAGCACTAGAAATTTCAGGCCAAATGACACTACTATTAGAAGATTTTAAATTAAGTGTTATAAGGTGAGACTTATCTTTAATCAATTTTCTGAAGGCATTCTGAGGTCAAAGGGATGCAACTAGATCGAGAACAAGCTGCGGACATTCCTCCTCCTAACTCTGCAGGTACTCAAGATTACATTTTGCATTTTTTATAATTGTGCCAACATTCCTTCTTCATACTTTGATTTTCTTTAAGGTTTTGAACTTAATGTTAGGGATAATCCCATGCCGTGTAGCTTTAGACACAGAGAACACAGAGGACCCTATAGTTCAGACAGAATCAGTTGTTCCTCGTGTGATTCAGGTAATATCAACAATTGATCGAACTATGGCATTTCACAGGAATATCATGAAACGTGTACATGACAACAGTGTTAACGTGATTTACTTGTTTACAGCCTGTTGTGAAGCAGGTTTCAACACCGAAGTTTCAAGGCATAGATGTCCATCCTAAACTCCCTATTTTGCAAAAGATTTCAAGCTTAACGAACTTTCCTGTCAAACTCCGGTCACCTCCTTCAAGTGTGTTGCAACCTCAAACATCATCTCCCTTGCAACCGAATTCTGATCAAAGGTAAAGTTGTAATAGTTTAAGCAGTCAATAAATTACTGTAATTTATAAAAACCTGAATTTTGTAATTGCTACCTTCTTATTGGTAATAGCATATCAATTTAATTGCATTGGCTCCTTACTGATTACATATTAGGGGAAGGGTGGGAAAAACTTAGCTCGACTAATTGAATCTTCGGTTCCTTTTCACAAAACAAGCCAAAGAATTGTACCCCTTCACTACTGAATCACAGCATGGCTTTTGGTGTATGTTTGAACAGCTAAGGACAGGAGAACTTTAGCCTTTAGGAATTATGAGGATCCTGCAATCTACAGTATTATACTTTGTACTCCGTATTTAGCATGCTCTTTGCTTTCGAATTGTTGTCCAAGTACTTTCTAATACCCCACTTTGAATCATGGTACGTAATTTTAATATAGTATGTTAGTCTCCTATCACTATAATAAACGTTTTAAGCCTGAAGATTATCTACTAATCAGAAAGGCTAATACTGTTGGAGTCCAATCTTCAATTCACACAATAAAGAAGGGTATTCATGAACATATAAGTTGAAACACCAGAAATTTCAGGCCAAATGACTACCATTTAGATTTTAAAATAAGTATTGTCAGTTGAGACTGACCTTGAATTTTCTGAAGGAATTCTGGAGTTGATGACATGCAACTAGATCGAGAACAAGCTGCAGCCATTCCTCCTCCTAACTCTGCAGGTACTCAAGATCACACTTGTTATGTCAATCGTACTGCATTTTTAGTATTCATGCCACGATTGCCAACATACGTCGCTCCTAATTTGATGATGAAGCTTGTTTCTTTCGGGGTTTGCACTTAATGTTGGTGATAATCTCATGTTGTAGCCTTAGAAGCAGAGAGATCAGTGGATCCTTCAGTTCAGAAGGATTCAACTATTCCTCGTGTGATTCAGGTATCCTCAACAATTGTACTATGGAATTTCACAGGGAGATCATGAAACATTTACCTGACAGCAGTGTTTACATGCTATAATTGTTTGCAGCCTGTTTTGAATGAGACTTCAACACCAAAGTTTCAAGGTGTAGATGTCCATCCTGAACACCTCCCTATTTTGCAAAAGATTTGGATGAAGCATGGAGATGTTCTTAAAGAAAGTAAAATTCGTAGTTGCGACTTTATAGCAACGACATTGGCTTCTTTGGCAAAATTGATACTAATTCTTCAAACAAACTCTGGAAAGACATTGACTGATAATCAAGCTCATTACTTGACTTCAGTACTGTCCGATCTGCAGTCAGTGTGTGTTAAAGTGGATTGGTTGGTTCCCTTTGTAGAGAAGGCTTTGGCATTGCACAAAAGGAAGCTACTAGATGCTGCTTTGGTGGAGCTTGAAAAGGCCAAAGCTAAGGTTGAAGAGATGAACCGAAAGTTCCTCTTAGAGATGATGAAAATGAAGCAAGGATTCAGTTCAAATAAGAAGCAGATTGTTTCCAAGAGCATAACGGCATGCGTACCAATAGATCAAGATAAATGCCTTGGAGAGGGATTGTTCTGATTTCTTTGTATTGTTGAATCACTAATTCTTAATATGCAAAAAAAATCATAATGGGCGCTAAGACATGAGCATATTAGTAGTGTTTCATGTATTGTTGACTTGTTTTTGGTTTGTGAAGACTGACAAAAGAAAGTATTGAAACAAATTCATTACTACGTAAAAGATTAACAATCATATCCAGCACCTCAAGTGAAGCATAGAAAAACAAAATCAAAGGAGCATTAAGATCAATGACATGAAGCGTTGGCAGCAATACAAAACAGTGATGAGCAAAATTGCAGCGTCAGGGAGGAGATTGAGAGCACATTCAACATCAAACAACACATAATAAAGTACGAGTATAACAGAGACTGCATACCCTAGGGCTGTGGAGCGTGTAATGAGACTATTTCAGTAGCTATCCATTAAAAAGCTCAGGGATGTTTCTAGACATCAAGAGACTTGGTCTACTAGCTGTAGCTATTAGATGAAATGAGCAATTACAGCCTTGCAGGGAGAGTTTTGGAGCTCTGAAAGTTACCCTAGGTACATGGGTAGAAACTAGTAGAGGATAGAAGCTAACTAGTTAGAGTAATAGAGTAACAATGAGCTACTCACTACGGAGTATCATAATTTCATCAGGATTGTACAGAAACATATTGCACGCATACAACTTGTTAGGATCAAAAATATGATTCCCGAAGGTCCTTTTTTCTCTCTTACAGTGACTACCAGAAAGAACATTGTGTTTCGAATACGAGTACAAGTACGATACTTTCACCATACACAAAACATGAGTTCAACTCTAAAGTTTTATCACAGTGTATGGAGGGGAAGACGAGATCATATTTTGTCCAGACCACACCAGTCTGGATACGTTTCCCGGCCTACCATGTACCCCGGACCTGGAGGATGATGAACAGGTACAGGCAATCCTTCACAGTAAGTGCAGCCGTTATCAGCTTCATCTGAAAGTGATCAAATTGCCAAAAAAAAAAAAAGGTGTCACATAATATTAGCCAGAGTGAACATAATAGCAGTAAAACAAAAAACAAAAACGTGTAAATTAAGAATGCAGTGAGATCACACCTGTTGAGGAAGTAGATGATTCCAAGCAATTGCAAAAGTCGCAAAAAAAAGTGGGGTTACGAAAGATCACTTCGGCAAAAAACATCTGCACAGGAGCATCAGGATTGTTTTTGTCCTTGGCCTCAAAGTTGATATGTAGGAAAAAACCTATAGATAAAGTTACCCTTCCAAAGGCGCTAATCTTTACAAGCTCCAAGTTCCACTTCTGAAAGTCATATACAATGAAAATATAAGGGATGACCATTTTTTTAATGATTATTATTCTTTTGATGCTCATTTAATCATCCAATAATGAGCAAAAAAACAACCTTTGACAGTAATTATTTTTCTACGAGGCTCTTGAACAAGTTCCGGGCATAGTTAGCTCTATATAGTCTTGCAGGAGTAAAATCAATCAAAAGGAAACAAACCTCTTTTTTATTTAACATGCGCAAGGCTACAGCTGCAGATGTTGACTCTATTTTGTCAAACTTGTGAATGAACTGGACTTCAGGATGAAAGGAAAGAGGAATGAAGTGTTGTTTTTCGCTGTGATACAAAAGTTAAATAGTTTCAGTTGAGTGATACTTAGATACATAACAAAAAATATGTATAAATAAAAAAGTGTTACAAAATTTCCACATTACTCCCTTTATACTCATAATTTACATACATTAAACTGATTGCATTGCCCTCTCTCTTCTATTCAAGTATTTCATTGCTCTAATTTTAATCATTATTCATCAGTTTGTTTAATCACTATTATTGTATAATTTGTTGATTGAATTATTTTTGTTATAATTTATGAATTTTTGGAAAGTAATTAGGCAATCAAATGATGATATGGCTACTAATGATGCAGAGTACATAAAAGGTTGAGAGTAGAGAGAATGGCAACATACCCATCCCGTACATACTTACTGATCTTCGGGACTACAGAAAACAAGAAATTGAAACGATATTTTCCACCTCTTAGGAAGGAAAGAGGGTCATCAGGATGATGAATATTACGCAAGTAGCAATAGAGGCAACCATAAGTAGCAGGTTTCTCTGCAGCCAAAAGAAGGAATTAGCATCATAACATTAAATTATGAGATGAAATAAAAATAAAATAAAAGTATGGTATTGGTAACCTGGTAGTAAATTGGTTGGTCCCAAGCATCTGACAGTAACAACACGGACATCATCTTCATTAATTTTGATCAATTCAGAGAAAAAAGTCTCGACTACAGCATGAGGTTCATTGTTATGCTTAGCCTTGAAGTTTAAATGCAAAATAAGGCATCCTTTTGGAATGGATCCTGAACCTGGAGCAAGGGGGCCAGGCTCCTGAAGCTTAAAGCCATCATCATCAATGGATCCTAGAGCGAGGGGGCCAAGCTCCACAAGCTCATAGTCATCACCATCGGCATTATATTCATTTAAAGCAATGTTTGCATATTTCAGCCTACTGGCTTCAGATTTCATCCTCATTTCTATACTTGGACAACATGTCACTGACACCAATTCCAGTTTCAAATTAGCAAAAACAATAGAATATCAAAGATAACAATACTACTAGCTGATTCATTACCAACAGTTTTTTGTAATTCTTTAAAATTAGATACACAATAAGCATCTAAAAAAAAATTATCGTCAAAACAAACCTTACCCCAGAAAATTGGTCAACAACAATCACCTTAACCCGTCAACTAAGCAACTGCATCGTCTGAGGTGACCAGTTTTGGCAAAGCTGATCTGGTGCTGTTTGTCAGTAGATATTACTGCTTTTTTGCTGCTGCAGGTGAATACCCTGGGTGTCAACTAAGCAACTGCATCGTCTTCTCTGATGACGCCTTCCCTCGGTATTCTGAGTCTAAATATAAATCTGGTTGGAGTTATGAAGGCAAAGTTGGAAATGAGCTTGCTGTTTACTCGATGGTTGGGCAAGACTTGTACAGTATACCTGCTGAATCTTATCCGGACTTCCCTGTGATATTGCTACAATCTCCTCCACCTTGGATTTTGCCAAATGCATCATCTTGTTTGCAATCTCAATTTCAAAGGTATTATGAGTAGAATCCTTAGATATAGATTATTAGTATGTAGTACTATACTACTATTAACTAATTCATCTTTCTATATTATAGAGCTGTTACTGTTATTTGCTCATCTTGTTAGATTATAGAGCACATCTCTGAAATTAGATCAAATTATGGGTGCTTGTTTCAAAAATTGCTTCCATATGATATACTAAGAATATCAGAATAATGCCCTTAGTTCAATCTTGGAAATCAACTTGTTGTGGTTTCTTATCTTGCTAGAATACAAGGTATATTGATTGATTATTGGGGCTCCTTATTACTTTGTTTGGATTGAAGGAAATGGAGGAAAAGGAAGACGAGAAAATGAGGAATGTAATATCTTTAATTTGGATGATTACTGTGGAAGGAAGGGAATTGGATGGAAAAGAAATAGAGCGATTAAATTATAAGAAATTGATCTCTCCAACAATGAAGAGATTTGTAAGGAAAATCATTCTTCCCTCCCCTTCTTTTCTTTCCTCTTTCTTTATCCAAACACACCGTAAATGCGATAATTGTTTTTCTTCTTCATTCTAAATTGTTGCTTTGACATTTGAATGATAAATGCCAAGAACTTTCAGCTTTTCAGGCAGCTTAAACTTGCCTATAAAATGGTCCTATAATTATCATTCTCTGTCAACTCAAAGTTTTGTGACCACTACAATTTAACTACTAAGTACTCGAGGAATCAGATTGAGGGTTTTTAGCTAACTTTTTGCTCCAAAATCACCTTTGGCATACATTTTGTCTGCAAAATTGCTCACAACTTTTTATTTGATGGAATTAAGGCTGGCATTGCAAGTTGCCAAGTTCCTTGTACTGCTAATCTACGTACGATGATCTTATTTGGGAATCTTTACTTGACTATTGTATCTTAACATGGGATATAGTTTGACTGTTTTGGCTCTTATCCATATAAATCAATCATGAACAAATGCCAACATATTCATTTTAAATTATCTATCATCTTATTTGGGTGCTTGTATTACTGTACTCAACAGGATAAGGTTGGTTTTCTTGGTTCTGACCGACTTTTTACTCATGTATGTATTCCTTTTATGTCATTTAGTTTTTTATTATTACTCTAAAAAGCAATTGAATATGCAGTTTGAAACAGGGCAACACCATCTTTGTGCAAGGAACTTTCTTATATGATGTCAATTAGAAATCTTTTTGTTTATGTCTACATGCCCGAATAATGCTAATAACACTACTCAAATTTAGACTTATGTAATGTTTGTTTGTGAAGTGGGCTTGAGGAGGTTGAAATGATTTTCACAAAGGGGTAGCGCAATAGCGCGTAGTTGTTTAAGAATTTTTAGAACTAAATTAAAATCGAACTTTATTTTAGGGATTCAATTCATATTATAATATTTCCTCAAAAACGATTAGAAAAATAACAAACTGAGTTATTTTTTGATGCGATGCAATACGTGTTATTACATTGTAATGCTCCTTATTAATTGACGATTTGATTTGACATGCAATTCGTCGTTAAATGATAGTTGTAGGGAACGCAACTCGTACAATTGACGGAGAACTTATTCAAAAAATTAAACAATACTAACATATATTATACATTGTTTAAAAAAAAAGATATATTATATATATCAAAATAATTACAATAAAATTAAAAAAAAAAAAAAAAAAAAAAAAAAAAAAAAAACTATGTACTAGTATGAAGTATCAGATTATTTTATTAATACTTTTCTTATACCTTGTACGTAATATAAAAATAAAGTGTAGGGGTAAATTTAATTTGGAACAAAGAGCAAGGGGTTAAAATACTTAAAAAGAAAAAATTCAATGAAAAAATATTGTTGGGATTCAAACACTCGTGCACGCAGCTTCACAAATACCCCTTTTACCACTGAAGCAAAGCTTGACATATGGATTTTTATGTAGTTTTAAACTTTTCATATCAAAATTCTGGTGCTACCCCTTGTGACTATGTATTTATATATATATACCTTTTAGATATAAATTTAGTGTTATTATAATTATTTGGATTGCATGGGGTTACTTAGCGTCTTGGC